GCCCGTCTTCCTCATCACTGAACTTGAGCTTTTCAGTGTAGTCGACCTCCTCATGGGCCCCTGAGGGGAAATGCAAAGGGTAGTAACTAATCATTCCGCTTTTAAATCTCAGGTACCTTTTAGAATACAAGAAGTAATCTGGAACTATGCAATGAAATGCACTACCAACGCCAACCCCATCCTCTTAAGTCTGGATCCACTGGAGTCTTGCCACTCAGTCCCCTCATTCATTATCAGGAATGGACTTTCTTCCATGTATCTGGATTTCTTCCATACAACACCCCATTTTTTTCCTTACCAGACTTTTCCTTTTAAGACCAAAATGCTTCATCCTTAATATTCACTTACCTGCCCAACCATCATCATTCTCCTGATCCAACTGGTCAAACTCTTTCAGATTATCCTCTTTAAGAATGGAAGGCCGACCTACAGGCTCTATAAGGCGCATTGGTGGCCCTGAGCCCCGGGGGCCTACCACACGGGGAAAACGGCTGTGTATAAAAAAGCAAATGTGAGAGAAGGTAAAAGATGGTGTGGTGTATAACCACATACAACACTGAGCCTCCTGGCTAGAATACTATCCCTCCACCAGTAGGCTTCCCCTTTCCCCAAGCATAAACCTAGACCTAGCATTACTCACCTGGGCCCATCAGGAGTGGGATATCGGTAAGGTCCCTGGGGTCCATAGGGTGGAGGGAACGGTAGATATGGGGGATACATCTGCAAAAGGGCCCAATAGCAGCTGCTCAGAAGGATGGTCAAAGAGCCTGCCAGCTCCCTAAACCTACTGTTCTCCTTGCTCTTTATATCCTAGGTCCTTGCATTCCAGCTGTCCCTTCTAAAGATTAAGTCCTAATTTCTAATTCTCTAGCTTCTAGTGCAAACACTCCAAAATAAGATATCCAGACTCACGAAGGGCGGCATCATTCCTCGGTAGGGAGGGAACTGGGGTGGGCCAGAAGGCTGCAGTCCTCCCCGGGGATCGTGGCCATGATGATGTTTGGAGTCTGGGCCCTCCAGTTCATCAGGACCACGCCCACCTCCGTCCCTCCAAGTTGTAGAATCTGTGTTTTAGAAAAGGCACAGAGTTAACAGCTGATAATGATGGGAAGCACTAAGCTCTGAGATAAAATAAGGTAATGTCTCAGCCAGTATATAACCCCTAACCCACCAACAGCCTCCTTCCCAAATGGTAGCCACTCACTTTGGGGGCGGAGGCTTGGTCCGGGCCCAGACGACTGTTCGGCAGACTCCCTTTCCTTGGCAGCCTTGTCCTGGTCGCCAGCCGCCTGCAGGGTCGGAAATTCCTCTCGAGAGAATCGTGACAGTAGGCTTGATGCCTTTCCACCTGTTGGAGTTGGGGAACAGAACAGGAATGAGAAGCACATGTACTAAGGATGCACCATGAAAGAGGAAGGTTCTGACAGGTACCAGATCATCAGGTTCCTGCCTTCAAACCCACCCCCTTCTCATTAGGTGCTCAATCCCCAAGAAACGCAGTCTGGGACACCATCCTCACCCTCATATAAAACAAACTAACTGGGGAAGGGGAGAGGGAAAAAAAATGAAAAAACAAACTTGCTCAAGTGCCCCATGAAACTAAATAAGGACCCCAAAATTTAGCCAAAGAGGACTGACACTTCACAGAAGGCACAGTGCAGGGCTCCTGCCTACCACGGTGCCCAGAGTGACCTCCCCAAATAGCCCTGCTCTCACCATCTCCATGTGCTCCATGGGTGGCGCTGGTTTGTGCCCAGGACTTTACCCCGCTTGGAACCAAAGGAGTGTTCTGGGGAAGTAGATACAATAAATGGTGATATAGGTGGGGGGCTATAAGCCACCTTTCTCTCCATCTCTTCAATGACATCTAGGTCTTCAGATACCTCGGGGGCTGCTGGGGGACGTTTCGGCTGGTTCGAGGCAGGCGTCTGTGAAGCCGGCAGTGGCTGCGATTCCAGCGGCTGAGCAGTTGAGGCATCGGAACTGAGGGGAAAGTTGGGAAGGTTATCCACAGCCTGAAAAGCCTCCCCTACTTCTCCACTGGAGGAAAACAGGAACTGAACTTAGGACTATTTGCTACTAGTTACAAATGTTAGGACAAGATACCATAGCCCTGGCTAGTATGGCTCAGTGGATTGAGGATGGGCTGTAAATCAATGGGTTGCTGGTTCGATTCCCAGCCACGGTACATGCCTGGGTTGTGGGCCAGGCCCCCAGTAGGGGGAGCATGAGAGGCAACCACAGATTGATAAAATCCCCCTTTATCCTTCCCTTCCCTTCTTAAAAAAAAAAAAAAAAAAAAAAAAGATACCATAACCATGTCACCCTGCATAGGCTGTCATGTTTCTTCATGCTGCTTCCGTTTTGACAAAAACCTAAAGGTGCCATTCCTTAGTCATCTAACAGGAATCTGGAATAGGCAGGAGAGGGGCTTCCCTCCGACTTTGGCTTATGTGGCTGGCTGGGCTAGACCAAGTCCTGAAGTTCAAAGTAAAAATATTCATTACTCTAGGTCCCCCAAGCCTCTTTCTACCTCTTGGGGTCGGACTGCTCCTGTTTGCTTGCCCATCCTGTTCCGTCTTTTGGCACTAGTGAGACGTTGGGGTCATTGCCTTTGTTCTCAGCTTTCAGGCTTGGAAGGTTGGCTGGGGGTGGCATACGCCGGGCAATAGCAACTTTCCCAAGACTCTGCAGGCCATGGCGAGGGGCAACTGGAGAAAAGGTAGAGAGAGGGTAAAAAAATGCCTCACACCGGAGATCCTCAGTGTCTTACTGCCCAACTTCTCTTAGAAACACCCCTTCCTCTGCCCTTATCAATCTCTGAAATCCTATTGGGAAGGCTGGGAAGCATCACATCCAAGGCTTCTATGTGAGATGGTTGATCTTGAGCTTGCAGGGAGCAAGCTGACTCCAGACTTCTCCAAGTCCACATTTCTTTACCTCCAATTCTTATGTGTCCAAAGATAGGGAACCACAGACATGCCTTTGAAGGAGAGTAATTGGTGTTTACCCAAAGCCCAGTGTCCCCTACAAGACCCAAGATAAAGTTGGGGAGCCTCTAGTGCTACTTTTTTCTTTTTTGGTAAACTGTATTGTAGCCATTTCCCTTCACAGAGCTCTAAAACAGGCCCCATTCATGCTCAGCATCCAATAATTAGGAGCATCTTTGTAGGACCCTCACCGGCAGGTTTCTGGATCTCTAAGGATTTGCCCTTATACGTATCAAACAGGTTGAGCGAGGAATACTTCTTTCCATCCTTCGCCTTGGCAGTCGGCCCCGAGCGATCGGACATTGCGCTGGAAGCTCATTGAGTATGTTGGGTCCTGCAGGCACCTTCCCCAAAACGTGCCGGAGCCTGTGGGCCAAACACCAAGTGTTTCAGTTTCTGCTCCCTTTACAGACTCCAAAAGAATCTCAATGATCCTTTTCGTTTTCATTAGGAGCCCAGATATGTGGCCCTCTGGTATCTTTTCCTCAAGCCTATTCAAAACTCTCCAGTCCCTTGAAGCAACCATGATCTACTCAGCTCCCACAGAGCCCAAACACCTCTTGGCAAGAATATCCGTAAAAAAATCTAGCATTCTCCTAATATAAATACTATCAATACTCCCCCCCCACCAATCGATAAAGTGTAGTAAGCTCTTCATTATCCCCACAACTAATCATCTCTTCAAAATCACTTCAGAGACCCAAATAAAGCAGGGCGAGTCCAAACCCTGGAGAAACTGGAAAGAGGCATATAGCTCTATCATGCAAGGAACAGAGTTTTAGATCCCTGACTTATTAGATACTAACTGTGCCCCAGGTTCCATTCCCAGCACTTCACTCCCATCTGGAGGAGGTCTGCAGGAAGGTATGCAAGAGTTTAAGGATTTTTATGAGCTTGCTCGGCCAGACTGAGATTAGTGTCAGAAAATTCATCATTAGATTGGGGTTCTGCACACTCCCAAGGTACAGAGCCCCAAGGACTTAGAATACCCCATCTTTTCCTACGCTTGCCCCCATCCCAGCTCTTGGGAAAAAAATCTTGTCTGCAGGTGCCATGCTGGCAAGTTCTGAGTTACGCTATGCAGATATGAGAAAAAACAAAGCATTATTGGAGCCACTTCAAGAGTACCCTATAACCATGAGGCCAAGGTCAAAGCCAATTTCATTTTCTTACCCTCAGTAAGAAATTTCAACAGCAGTCATTTCTTTTCCTAATATCCCCTGCTCCCCAAGTAGGCCAAACTCTGCATGGTCAGTCGTTTTGGGAGTGACCAGGCATTCATTTATAAGGGGGTATAGTGTAAAGAAAAGAAATGGAAGATGGTGGTGGAAAATTCAGACAGCATCAGGATGAAAACTAAAATTGGAGAGTACTTTCAGACAGGTTAGATGACAGGATGGGGTTTACTTTGCAAGTGTTTAAGGAGGACGGTCTTTGAAAGTAAATATATGAAAGACAAGGGGATAGAAGAGTCGGGAAAAGATTAGTAAAAGACTGAAGACAAAAGTAGGTGAGATGTAGCACACGTAAGCAGAAATTAGGAAAAGGATGCAGTGCAAAGTTAAGGGGATAGTGTCAAGAGACCCAGAAAAGGGGCGTTAGGATAGTAAAGAGATAAGGACTAGGAAAAATGAAACAGGAGAGGGAAAATGGAGGAACACAGCGAATATGCAGTATAAAAGCAGGGTTCCAGAGTGGGAGTGACTCGATGAAAAAAGGGGCGTTAAGAAGGGGGCCCTTGGGCTGAGTGATGGGAGTGGGAAGGAGACTTTCTAAGAGGACCGTGGGGCGCGGCCCACACCCGAGCGGTGGCGGTGGCAAAGGTGGCCCACAGAGGGGTGAGATGTCAGCAGCATGGAGGGTGGGGAGTAACCGGTCCAGGAGACAGGGTCGCCCCATTAGGTCATGAAGGTGGGTGGGTAGAGGTAGGCTACAGACTCTGAGAGGAGCTGAAGGTGCTGGTCCAAAGTAGGTGGTATCGGAGGGGGAGGGGCAAGGCAGGATCCGGCGGTAGGACGACAAAATGGCGGCGGCTAATGGCAGCTTGTCCTCCTCTCCCGCCTCCCCCCTTCCCGGCGCGCCGTCGCCGCCGCCGCCGCTGCCACTACCGCTCCTGAGCTGCAAAAAGACGTAAGCACTCGGCTCATCCAGACTCACCTGGCCGGGTATGCGGGGATGCGGGCCCGGGCCCAGGGGCTCCCCGGGGTGGGATGGCGGTGGGGCGGGGGCGGATGGCGGCAGATGGCGCCGGGTTTAGCTGCGCCGGTGTCCCTCGTTCCTCCGCGGCAGGGCTCCGACTAACGGCCCATCCGGGCAACCACCACCCCCGGGAGTACCCACCACCTCCCGCCTCCCTCCGCGTCTAGACACGCCTTGTCATTTGCATATAGGGCGGAGCGCTCTCTATCCTATCCCACTTTAGTTCCAAGAGCTGTTCTTATTAAAAAAAAAAAAAGCAGATATGCATAAAAAGGAGGGACTTACAGGTTTTAGGATGTTGATTGGCTGAGGGGGCGGGCCTCCTGCGTCTGCCGTTGAGACGTGTAGATGGGGCGGGAACGTGGTGCCAGCCGGCCGGGCTTTTGGGGCGCACTATTTACACTGCGGAAAGAAAGAGGAGGGGCGTGCGTCGTGCGTACGTGGAAAGATGGGAGCGGAGAGACGTATGGACGCCGAGAATGAAAGGAAACGACGCTGCGTTGGTGGTGCTTTCTGAGGCGGAGATGGAGCAAGAGGACTGGGCGGAAGGGATTAGCTGCCGGGGGCGGAGCATATGTAACCATGGAAGAGTCAACTCAAGCGTCCTTTCGGGATAGGTGAAAGCACCAGAAGGGCGGGGCCTTTCATTTATTAAATCACGTAATGCAAATAAGGTGGATAGACAGGCCAATGGAAGGGCCCCGGGGGGTATATCATGGGCGTAGTGCCTCTTGGACAACTTTAAGGCAGTTCTATTTATTTGCATAATATATATAAATCATTTGAACAAAGTTGGGCTAGGAATGACTTAATCATCAAAATATTGTCAACCTATGACAAGACGGACACTTAACTTTATAACCTGTACTTTTTAAGAAGATATTTGTATATGTTATTGTTGGTAACTTCATTCTTTACAGTCTCATGGTTTGAAATAGCATTTACGTGCTGATGACTCCCAAGTGAAATACAGCAGAGACCTCACTTTCCAATTCCAGACTTGTATACACAGCTATGTACTTGTACTTGACATTTCCTCCTAAATATCTAATACATCATTTCAAATTCAGTATGTCCAAAACTTAGCACTTGACTTTCAGCCCCTCGAAATCTGCTCTATTCACATCCTTCACCATCTCAGCAAAAGGCAACTTAAAAATTCCAGTGAAGTAAAAAACCTCGGAATCCTCATTACTCCTTTTATCCCACTCCCTACTGTCAATCAGACAGAAGCTCCTATCTTGAGAAAATATTCAGAATCCAGCCTCTTCACTTCCACTTTTTTCACCTTGATCTGAACTGTTCTCAACTCTTACCGGGGTTACAGCAACAACCTCCTAACTAGTCTTCCTGAGTTTACACCCGTTTCTACTGTCTATGTATTCTCTACATTGCAGCCTTTTTTTTTCCCCCAAAAGGAGGCCTGAAAGGACTTCTTTGCTTAAAGCCCTGCAATACCTCTCTGTTTCTCTCAGAATAGAAGCCTAAGTTTCTACAGTGAATTATAAGATCCTAAATAAGTTGGCCCCCTTTTATATCTCTGATTTTATTACTCTCTTTATCCACATCAGGCATATTTCCCCTTGAGGCCCTTCTGCTCATTTTCCCTCTGCCCAATTGGCCTCTTCTGAGACTTCCCCAAAGCTAACTACTATCCTGACTTCTAACAACATACATTAGTTTTACCTGTTTTTGTACTTTATACAAATGGAATTGTACAGTAAGGGCTTTTTTTATGTCTGTATTCTGTCCAACATATTAATAAGTTTCATCTGCATTGTTGCATGTAGTTATAGTTTGTTCATTCTCATTGTTGTATAGTAATAGTCCATTATGTAAATGTAACCCAATTTATCTTGCCCTGGCTGGTGTGGCTCAGTGGATTGAGCACCATTCTGGGAATCAAATGGTTGATGGTTCTATTCCTAGTCAGGGCGCATGCCTGTGTTGCAGGCCAGGTCCCTGGTTTCTCCTTCCCTTTGCTTCTCTCTAAAAATAAATAAATAAATAAAGTATTAAACAAACAAACAAATAAACAAACAAACCCAGGTTTAAAAAAAGATACCCAGATCTTCTCTTTCTTTCTTGGTGTTACCAGAATTGTTGTGAAGATTAAATGAATTAAAACAGAAAGCATTTGGAATGGTATCCAATATATAGTAGGTACTCAATAGAAGTTAGCTATTAATTTTTTTATATTCAGATACTTTATTCAATTCAATGCTTTTATCCTTATCTAAAGTGCTATACAGCCACTGCAGCATTCTTTGGAATGCCAGTCTGGCTTCACCACTGGGAGAGGCCAACATGGGTGATCTCAGTGGCCCATTCTGTCTCAGTACATGAAACAAGCTGGGCCAATTGGATTCTCTCTTTCCAGGGTGGCAGGAAATCTGAAACAGTGGCCAGTGACTGGGGGTTGATACTTTCCTTTGGGGAAAGGTCCAGGAATAGTCTCAGTGAGACTCTTTGGCTTCTGCCTTCCCTGTGATTGGCTATTTAACCCTTTTTGCTATCCAGGGATCCTGTATTCCTAACATCTGCTCTCAGTATCCTCCTAGTCCAAGTCCCTTCCCTCTTCATTAGATAGACTGTTTTGCAGCTTGTCCCCAAAAAGACCATGAAGATTCACTTAACACTTAAATTGTCAAGCTCTATAGTGTTGTGAGTCCTTTACTCCATCCAATTACACCAGTTCTTTCATCCATCCATCTGACTATCCATCAATCCATCCATTCAATTTTAAACATTTTTGAGGGCTTATGATATGTCAGATATTACAGGATGGATCATATTATCCTCATCTTCAAGTGAAAGACTCATGGAGCCTGAGTAATTTGTTAAGGTCACAAAGCTTATAGTGATGGAGAATGTTGGTTCAAAGTAATCCGTGCTCTTTACCATGGGCCTGGGTGATTTTTCTTTTCTTTTCTTTTCTTTTCTTTTCTTTTTTTTTTTTTTGGTACATGTCTTGTCATCCCCTTTAATTTCCATGAGGTCAAGGTTACCTTTATACAAGGGTGGGGTGGAATAACGTGGGAAAGAAGGAAAAGGGTCATAAATGAACATGTATGAAGGACCCATGGACAAAGCCAAAGTGGGGTAAGATTGAGGGTGGGAGATGGGGGTGAATAGGGTGGGGAGAAGTTGTGGTGGAAAAATGGAGACAACTGTATTGGAACATCAATTTTAAAAAAAAGGAACCTTATACATCTGGAATCCCCCTTGGTGTACAAAATTCTCTCCTATAGTAGACATTACTTATCTTGGCAAATCCTTGCTTCCCTTGCCTCAAAGATGCTTCACTTCTTTCCAAACCCAGGGGAAAAAAAATCCCCCCAAACACTGACCAAACAGACTCGATTTGCAGAATGAGGAGAATTTATTTTGGTTTGACTTTGGCTCACACTTTTGTCTTGTTTTATGTGTGTTTGGGGTTATTAGAAGCACCTTCAATCCCACCACAAATCAGGGCAACTCAGAGATAGCTTTCTTGGCTGGAGGACCCGTTGGTTTCTCCTGCTCCCTTGCTTTCTCCTCGTACATTAGGATCCTGGTCAAGATGGGAAGAGGCACAAAGATCAGGGAACAGTCCTCTCAAGAGAACAAATCTTATGCTGCTATGAAAGTCCAGAAGAAGATGGGGGTTTCAAGGGTGGGAGGAGGAGGGGGGTGTGAAGAGTAGGAGTTTAGGGGGCTCTAGGGACCAAACTGTGGGTGGGATAGGATCTTGGAAGTGTTTCTCAAAGGATGGAAGAAATAGATGCTGAGTAATATGTAGAAGGTGAGCCTGGGGATGGGGGTAGGGGTGGGGACAAAAACAGGCAAGTATAGGAGAGGTTGGAACTGGATGCAGACGGCCTACCCTTGCTCTGGCTTTCCCCCCACAGCAATTCCCTCACATTTTTAGGATGGCAGATCTCTTGCCCAACATCATCCTGAGAAAGTCGGAGTAGTTGAAAGTCTCCCCAGAGCCACTGGAAACCTCCTTGATTAATTTCTTTAGTTCCAGATGGGTCTTGGGTACCCCAAGTTTCTCAAGCATTCGCTTCAGAGACATGATATCTGGAGAGAAAGGATGGGGGTGACAAGATAGGAAGTCTCCCTTTTACCTCCACATTCCCATTCCCCTTCTCTTATCCTGGAGGCTGGGCCCTTTCCCAAACCATCAGTAATGGAACACTATAGCAGAGACTTCTCCTTCCTAGGTCTGCACACTTTCCCAAATCACCCTTTTCTCACCGATATCTCCGTTTCCATTCAGGTCAAACTCCATGTATTTCTCTGGGTGAGGGGAAAAAGCAGAGGGTAAGCTCTGGCTGGAAGGGCAGGGGCAAAACCGAAGACTGAGAAAGAGATTGCTACCCAATGCTAGGTGGAGGAGAAGGTGTGGGAGGAGGAGGTGGGGCAGGCAGAGGAAGTAGAGGTTTCGGGTTTGAAGGGCCCAGTTAAGGTATCCTGAACTTAGAGGGGCTGCTGAGAGGGGCTGGCCAGGGAAGAGAACTGCAAACCAGAGGAACGATAGAGGCAGCTCTCCTTCATCCCACCACAAAAGTAGACTGTGTCTCTGCTCCCCACCCTCTGTTCTTGGGGAAATCCTACCCGCTCAACCTCCCATCCACCCCTATAGTTTTCCCCTCACTCTTGAAGGCTTCTAGTTTGGAGGGCAGATCCTCATCACTGCTGTACTTAGGATCATCCAGGAATTGCTGTGGAAAAAGCCAGAGACACTGTAGGCATTCCAGCCCAGGGCCTCTTCCCCCAGGCCCTGCCCCCTTAGTTCTTCCTTTTTACCTTGTTGATTTCATTCAGGCTCTCTTCCTGCCTGGCCTTCAGCAGCCCAAAGTTTTTTCCTCCTGAGGGGACACAAAGGTTAATGCATCCTCACCCCCAGACCAGCCCAGGACTATCACAGTTGTGCCTTGCTAGGCCGGCTAACTGCCCTCCTAGCCCCTGGCCCACGCTGTTGGCTCCTTGCTCACATTTGAGGCTTCTGCCCATCCCACCTTTCCTACCCTGTAAATCCCTGGTTTGGCTCATGGCTCAGCAGATGCTGGTGGAGACCTACAAGCTTGCTGTTTCTTTGCCTTCTGGCTCTGCTTTCCCACAGCCTCCTGGGAGGCCTCCCTCACAAACTTCCCCTTTCCCCTCATTCCCTCCTCCTTTACCTCCAGGCATCACTTCCCCATTAGCTTCTGCTGACACTGGCAGAAGGGGGAGCTAAATGTAGATGGAGATGAGAAAATAACATTCTCGCAAGTTCCTTTTAAGGAGAGCCCTACGTGTACATGAAAGAAATTTCTTGATAAGCTACTGGAGGTGTGGGGGAAGGACAAAACCCAGGGGCATTTATTCTTAGGAACAAGTGGTCTTTGAACAGGTCCAGAGATTCAGGTAACACTAAGGCCTTGCATTTCCTCAGGTTTCATGAGTCTGGGCACTCAGTTTGGGATGGGCAGCTGAGGAAGGGCTGACTGGATTTTTCTGTGCTTGGGAGAAGAATCTAAAGTCCAGGAGGGCGGAAAATGCGTGTAGGGTCTGGAAAGGGGAGAAACCTCATTCCTGGTTTGGCAGCTGAAGAAAGGCACTTGGAAATAGGGAAATAACTAATAAAGGCATTTTAGTTTATTTGCTTTAGGACGTACAATGTAACCCCCTCATCTTATTCTCTTTGACTTGTTTAGCAAAATCTGCAGAGCTCAGGAATTTGAGAATTGAAGTCGATTCTTTGGAGGAACTGAAAGTGGTGCTGAGAGAGACTGCATTTATGGACACAAGAGCCGGAGTGGCCCTGGCCAGTGTTGTCTTGTAAACCGAAAGGCCATGGGTTTGATTCCTGGTCAGGGCACATGCCTGGGTTGTGGGTTTGGTCCCCAGTTGGAGTACAGGCAGGATGCAACTAATTGATGCATCTCTCCTATATCAGTGTTTCTCTCCCTCTTTTTCTCCCTTCCTTCCTGTCTCTCTAAAATCAATAAGCAGCCCTGGCTGGTGTGGCTCAATGGATTGAGCACAGGCCTGTGAACCAAAAGGTCACCAGTTCAATTCTCAGCCAGGGCACATGCCTGGGTTGTGGGCCAGTTGGGTTAGGGGTATTTGAGGGGGCAACCGATGGATCTCTCGGATTGATGTTTCTCCCCTTCTCCTTCTCCCTCCCATCCCCTCTCTCTAAAAGTAAATAAATAAAATCTTTAAAAATGTCATTGGGTAAGGATTAAAAAAAAAAAAAAAAGATCCAGGGGCGAGGTCAACATTAGGTTAGTGTGTGTGTATGTGGGTGGTAAGGATGCTGGTCATTGTGGGTTCAACAGAGCCCTGATAAATGCCCTCCCTAGGCAAATCTTTATCTCCCTTGCTGCTCTGTTTGACTAGTCACTGCTAGGGGAGGTGAGGACAGTGTGTCCCCATCACTGAGACCCTTTCGTGCAAACACCCTGCCCAGAGTTCCATCCCCTCTGCCCCAGCATTAATCAAGACACCTTTCCTTCTCTACCCTCGATCTACTCCCCTTCTTCAGCCGGGAGTTTTTATTTTTCACTGTGTTCTCCCTGACCCATGCAGGTGGGGGGAGATGCTGGAGGGGACTTTGACTTAATTTTTAATTAATTAACTAATTATTTATTTATCCTCACCTGAGGACATGCTTATTGATTTTAGAGACAGGGGAAGGGAGAGAGATAGGGAGAGAAACATCAATGTCAAAGAGAAAGACATCAATTCATTTGCCTCTGGCATGTACCCCAAATGGGACTGAACCAGCAGCCTAGGCATGTGTCCTGATAGGGCATCAACGCGCTCACCTTCAGTTAATTGGACCATGCTCCAACTAGCTGAGTCACACTGGCCAGGGCAAACTTTGGCTTCTTGACTACCCTTTATTGCAGCTGCTTCTCTCCTTGGAAAGAAAGTTGGAACCCTGCAGTCCCAATGGTCTCACTGCCTGGTGGGGGAAATTAATTTCTTTATTCATACATTCATTCAACAAGTATTTATTGAATACTAACTATATGCCAGGTGTGCTTTTAAGCCCAGTGAACCAAACAAGTGTAAACTCTTTTTTAAATATATTTTATTGATTATGCCATTACATTTGTCCTATGTCCCCTCTTCATTCCCCTCCACCCTGCACACTCCTCCCCCACCTCCCCCTTTAGTTCATGTCCATGTGTCACAAGTTCTTTAGATTCTACATTTCCCACACTACTCTTGCCCTCCCCGTCTATGTTCTCCCCACTGTCTATGCTACTTATTCTCTGTACCTTCTCCCCCCTTCTCCTTCTCCCACTCCCCTATTGCTAACCCTCCATGTGATCTCCATTTCCATGGTTCCGCTCCTGATCTAGCTGTCCTCTTAGATTGCTTTTGTTTTAGGTGTGGTTGTTAATAACTGTGAGTTTGCTGTCCTTTCACTGTTCATCTTTTTTATCTTCTTTTTCTTAGATAAGTTCCTTTAATATTTCATATAATAAGGGCTTAGTGATGATGAACTCCTTGAACTTGACCTTCAATGTGAGAAGCACTTTATGTGCCCTTCCATTCTAAATGAAAGCTTTGCTGGATAGAGCAATCTTGGTTGTAGGTCTTTGGATTTCATGACTTGGAATACCTCTTTCCAGCCCCTTCTTGCCTTTAAGGTTTCTTTGGAGAAATCAGCTGACAGTCTGATGGGAACTCCTTTGTAGGTGACTGTCCCCTTATCTCTTGCTGCTTCTAGGATTCTCTCCTTCATTTTAATCTTGGCTAATATAATTATGATGTGCCTTGGTGTGTTCCTTCTTGGGTCCAAATTCTTTGGGACTCTCTGAGCTTCCTGGATTTTCTGTTTCCTTTGCCAGATTGGGGAAGTTCTACTTTATTATTTGTTCAAATAAGTTTTCCACTTGTTGCTGTTCTTCTTCCCCTTCTGGTACCCCTATAATTTGGATGTTAGAATGTTTAAAGATGTCTTGGAGGTTCCTAAGCCTCTCCTCATTTTTTTGAATTCTTGTTTCTTCATTCTTTTCTGTTTGGTTGTTTCTTTCTTCCTTCTGGTCCACTCCCTTGATTTGAGTCCCAGTTTCCTTTTCATCGCTATTGGTTTCCTGTGCATTTCCCTTCATTTCAATTAGTTTAGCCTTCATTTGTTCCTCTAATTTGAGACAAAAATCAACCAGTTCTGTGAGCATCCTGATCACCAGTGTTTTGAACTGTGCATTTGATAGGTTGGCTATCTCTTGGTCGCTTAGAATTTTTGGCTCTGGGGCTTTGAGCTGTTCTTGAGCCATAATGTTTTGGTCTGTTCGTGACTGTTACGTATGAGGGGTGGAGCCTTAAGTGTTCACCAGGGCGAGGTGACCCAGGTCGCTGGGTTGTGATGCTGTATGTGGGGGCAGGGTCAGAGAGGGGCAATGGCGTTTGTTCCTCTCTCTCTCTCAGATTTCAGTCCCCTCTGCTGCTTCCCGCAATCAAACCTGACGCCCCCTGGTGCCAACTTCCGGATGTGTGGGCCTGTGCACCCTCCAGGACCCTATGGGTCTCTCCAACAAACTCTCTGTGAGCTTGGGAGCTTCTCCTGGCACCTCGACCGGGAAAGTTTTTCCAATTGGTGCTTTTAGGCTTTAATTCCCCGTTGCTGGGGCCCTAGGCTGCGTGGTCTGTCTCACTGCTTGCTCCTTCGCCTGGTTTATCTGTGCACAAATGTGTGACCGTGGTCAGCCAGCCGCCTTGAGCCCTCACTGGGTCTGCCCATTTCCACCTGGCGCCTGGGATCTGCCAACAGCTGCCTGCACTCCTGGGTTGGTCCGGCAGATTTTTTCTGCCCAACCCCACTCCGCTAGCTGCTGACTCCGCTCCACTTACCAGTCTGGCTGAATGGTTAGTTGTTGTTGGACTTCCGGATAGTTCAATTTTCTGTGTTTTGGCTGCGTTTTTGTTACTAAAACTTTGTTGTCTTTAAACATGGTTGTGGGAGGAGGCACAGTGTTTCTACATACACCTCCATCTTGGCCAGAAGTCACAAGTGTAAACTCTTGTCCTCAGGGACAGTCTAATTGGGGAAGACAAACAATAAAAATAAAAAATATATTGAAGGCAGTAGGTACTCACGGAGAGGAAGTGAGGAAGGGGGATGGGAGGTGCTGTAGTGGACTGCAGTTCATTGGTTAATAACATTATACAAGTTTCAGGCATATGACTTTGTAATACAACATTGTGTGCTCACCATCCGAAGTGTAGTCTCCTGTCACCATGTATTTGATCCCCTTTACCCACTTCATTTTCCCCTTTCCCCCCTCCCCCTAGACTGCATTCTTAAATAACTGCAATCTTAAATAGGGTAGTCAGGGAGACTTCGCGGAGAAAGTAATATTTGAGCAAAGATTTCAAGGAGGTGTAGGAATAAGCCATGTAGATATATGGGAGATCATTTTAGGCAGAGGGAACAGGAAGTACAAAGGTCCTGAGGTGACATGTTTGGGTACCTGGAGTATTTGTGAAGCAGCAGGGAGGACAGTGTAGCTGGAGCCAGGCATGTGAGGAGAAGCAGAGGCAGAAGATGAGGCCAGACTGAGTAGGACTATTGGGAAAACTCTGGCTTTTATTCAGAGTGAGGTTGCCTCTCAAAGTGGTCTTTTTTTTTTTTTTTTAAGTTTATTTATTTATTTATTTTTTAGAGAGAGGGGAAGGTAGGGAGAAAGAGAAGGAGAGAAATACCAATGTGTAAGAGATACACTGATCCACTGCTGCTTGTATGTCCCCAGCTGGAGACTTGGCCCACAACCCAGACAAGTGCCCTGACCGAGAATCAAACTGGAACCTTCTGGTTCGCAGGCCGATGCTCAATCCACTGAGCCACACCAGCCAGGGCTCAGAGTGGTCTTGCCATCCAGGATGGCTTTGCAGACTACCATGATGAGATAGAGCTTAGATGCTCAGAAAAATGCCCTGTGCTAATGTGACAGCTGCTCTGACCATGGGACAAAAATGAAAAGTAAAGAGTATCTAACGGGGCAAGTGGGCGGGAAATTGCACTTAGCCTAAACACAGATGTGAGGAAAGCCTGTGAAGATGAGACATGAGAGAAGACACCTCCCACCTAAACTTGGGGTTGGCCTCTTGACCACACAGAGGGCTGGTGCGCAGCAGTTAGGGCTGAAGGAGACATGGGGCCTCTGGGCAGAGAGCTGCCAGGGTGCAGTGTGGGGGCTACTGCAAAGAATCCCCAGAGAACTTTGAAATAGGGGAAGATAACCCTCTCCTTAAAGCAGGGGTTCTCAGCCAGTGGTCCTTCCACCAGCATCACACAGAAGCATGGCAGAAATGCACATCGTTCGGCCCCAGCCCAGACCCACTGATTCAGAAACCCTGGGGCAGGAGCCTAATAATAGCTTTCATAACAGGTGCCTCAGCTGATTCTCATACACACTCAAGTTTAAGAGCCACTGCCCTAAAGCAATAAAGTGGTTTCCAAGCCCACAAGGCTGCTGAACCCAGGCTGCAGGTGTCAACACAGCTTAAGCACAGGTCAGTGGGTGGTGGGACTGATCAGCCTTGGGTGCAGAAAAAAGGAGTCATTGAGGCCAGGGTTGTTAGTGTCCAGCCATGCAGTCATGGAGAGAATGATGAGCTGGCTTAAAAAATTACCTGCTGGACCCTGCCTGGTGTGGCTCAGTGGACTGAGCACTGGCCTGCGGACTAAAAAGTTGACGATTAGATTCCCAGTCAGGGTACATGCCTGGGTTGCCAGCCATGTCCCCAGTTGGGGACATTGAGAGAGGCAACCAACAGTTGTTTCTCTGGCACATTCTATTTATCTCCCTGTCTTTCCCCCTCTCTAAAAATAAATAAGTAATTACCTGCTGGAGGTTGGTGACATCAGAGTCCCTTATGGCACTGGCACTGTGTTGCCACTGGCCTGTGTCATGATGCCATGCTATCCAGGGGCACTGCTAGTTAGAATCAGGCCCTGTAGATTGTGCCTACAGGAAGTGTGTACAGTGGCCAGAAAGCTGGTCTCTGTGTGTGTCCTGGATGTTTTCTGTTTGCCCCTCTATTTCCCCTCCCCCTCTACTCTGCCCAGGAGACTAGCCTGTACAGACCACATTAAGGGCACCTCTGGCTTCTAGTTGTTTCTGGCTGATGGAGAGCCTGGCAGAAAAACAGTGGGAGGAAGGACATTAGGTTGAGAGTATTCGTTCCTGTGGTTACCTTCTACAAGGTCACCTCAGGCTGGCCAAAACCTCCACCTTGGGGCAGTGCTCGTCTTCAGGTAACCTGCTATGCAGGACTATGTTCTTCCAGGTGTTGGTAGGCCTTGGAATTCATTATAGGTGGTCTATGAACTTGGAAAGGAAAAATGGTTCCTCATCTTCCGAAGTCCAACATTACATGTGTTGCCTTGTCAGACTGCTTCACAGTTTCCAGTTCTTATTTAAGCCAAGCAAAGCCTCTGTTTGCACTGATGTCTTTATTTATTAAAATCTAACTTCAATCTCTTGTATTTTAAATGTCTTGTCTTTTATATAATATGGTAATAAGGAAGTACATGGTTTATGCTTTCTCAACTTTTTAGTAATATTTTGATAACTGAAATTCAATATAATTGTTTTACTTTGTATTATATATTACAAATGAGTAAGAATCCGCCCTGGCTGGTGTAGCTCAGTGGATTGAGTGGGGGCCTGCGAACCAGACAATCGCGGTTCAATTCCCAGTCAGGGCACATGCCTGGGTTGCAGGCCAGTTCCCTGCAGGCCACTTCCCAGCAGAGGACGCACGAAAGGCAACCATACATTGATGTTTCTCTCCCTCTCTCCTTCCCTTCCCCTCTAAAGATAAATAAATAAAATCTTAAAAAAAAAAAAAGAGTAAGAATCCCCGCTGGAACCAATATTCATGAGATGTGCAGTACAGCACAGGGAATATGGTCAATACTATTATAATAACTATGTACGGTGCCACATGGGCACTGGAATTCGTGGGGGGATCACTCAGAAATTACATAAATGTCTAATCACTATGCTGTATACCTGAAACTAATATAATATTGAATGTGAACTGTCAGTTAAAATAAAAAATAATAAGAACAACAACAAGAAAGAATCCCTGCTGGAACCCGTCCCTCCCCTTATCCCTGGGGCCTGGGCTGGCGATATCCCTGTACACCTACTCCACTCCCACCTTTGTAAAGAAACCATCTCCAGCCCTGGCTGGTGTGGCTCAATGGATTGAGTGCCAGCCTGAGAGGTAAAGGGTCACCCGTTCAATTCCCAGTCAGGGCACAGGCCTGGGTTGCAGGTCCCCAGTAGGGGGCATGTGAGAGGTAACCACACATTGATGTTTCTCTCCTTTTCTTTCTTCCTCCCCCTTTTTCTAAAAATAAATAAATAAAATCTTAAAAAAGAAAGGAAGGAAGGAAAGAAGAAGAAAAAAGAAAGGGAGGAGGGAGGGAGGGAGGGAGGGAGGGAAGGAAGGAAGGAAGGAAGGAAGGAAGGAAGGAAGGAAGGAAGACTTTCCTCAAGTAGCCTGATTGGAGGGCTGTGTTCTATTGGGACCCTGACTAATACAATGTGTATGTGAATATATGCCGGTGTGCACATGTGTGCGCACACGTGTGTGTGTGCGTGGAGTGCAGGGCTGGGAAGAAATGGACTGCTGTGGCTCTATTTCTCACTGGAAATGAATGAAAAGGGTGTCCGTCCTGGTGTGTGAAACAGACTGTGCAGCCTGGTAAACCAGAGGCCCTCCCTGAGGAAAGATGGGTAAACAAGCCAGAATTCCTCCATGCCCACAAGGTTCAGCTCTGTAGAATCTTAACTCACTCACTTATGCTGCGCCTTTGCCAAAAGCCTCATCCTTCTAAAATGCCTCCTTATAGGGCTTTGATGGGAACATGGCATCAGTTTATTTCTAAATTTCCCCTCTTTTTTCCTGGAAGCCTTATAGATCAATAAAGAGATTGGAAACACACACACACACACACTACATTTGCAGTGAAGCTAGGAGATACAGAATACCTATATACTCCAACCTCCTTGTGGGACCAAATTCAAAGCTGAGCAGGCAGTTCCCAGCAGCGCCTCAGGGAAGATCGGGGAGAGAGGAACCCAGCGATGTTACCCAAACAGCAAATTGTCCTTCCCGGGAGGGAAGGCTTTACCCCAAGAGGGAAGAGCCAAGGGCAGGGCTAACCGAACAGAGTCAGCACTGGTAAAGGTGAAGTGAGAATGTCTTAAAGCACCAAAGCAACCCAGGTGTCTTAGATATTGCCAGGAAAATTCTCTTTCTAGCATTAAGTGTATAACTTAGGTACACTTGGGAGATGGCCATCTGTGAGGCCTCCTGTGAGACAAAGAAGCTAAGGTGGTGGTGGACTCTTGCTTAACAGGGAGAGGTCCTCAGAGGAAAGAAGGTAGTGGCTACACAGAGGTGCCACATTTAAAGGAAATAATCCATGGTTATGGCAAAAGGTGAAACCCTTGAACTTCTCATTTTTTAAATCATAAATTACTGTTGGGAAATGGTTTTCTTCTATTTTTAAAACAGAGTAGTTGCTATCATGAACAGCTTTTGTGAATGCTTTTATTGTATTGATTGAGATGGTCATACAGATTGTCCTCCTTAATCTCTCTTTTTAAAAAAGATTTTATTTATTTTTAGAGAGAGGAGAAGGAAGGGAGAAAGAGAGGGAGAGAAACATCAAGGTATGGTTGCCTCTCACGTGGCCCCCACTGGGGGCCTGGCTCACAACCCAGGCATGTGCCCTGATGGGAAATCGAACCAGCAACCCCTTGGTTGGCAGCCCACGCTCAACTCACTGAGCTACACCAGCCAGGGCTGTCCTCCTTAATCTCTTAATGCAGTGAACCATATGAGGAGGAACGAGAAATTACATGAATAGTGACTTGCTTTCCCAGATAAAGACTGCTTGGTTTTTTGATATTACTTAGTCAGTTCTGGCTTAGGGTTCCTAATATTTTTATTGTTCTTTTTTTCTTGTATCTATATTCATGAGTGAAATTGTTTTATACTTTTTCCTTTTCCAAATTGTCTTTCCCTGGCTTTTGTATCAGGGTTACATTATCTAATGAAATAAGTTGAGAAACTTTTGCTGTTTTCTGATTGCTAGAATAACTTTTATATGAGTGGAATGATCTCTGTTTTAAAGATTTTCATAATGATCTGGGTTTGGTGGTTTTTCTGGTGGTTAAATTTTTAACAACTGATTCATTTCTTTCTTTTTTTTTTTAAGATTTTATTTATTTATCTTTAGAAGGGAAGGGAAGGAGAGAGGGAGAGAAACATCAATGTATGGTTGCCTTTCATGCATCCCCTGCCAGGAACTGGCCTGCAGGGAACCGGCCTGCAACCTCGGTATGTGCCCTGACTGGGAATCGAACTGCGATTGTCTGGTTCGCAGGCCCGTGCTCAATCCACTGAGCTACACCAGCCAGGGCTGATTCATTTCTTTAATGGTTACAGATACATCAGTCTTTTGATTTTTTTTCTTGACTTTGTTTTAGTCATATTTTTTTTAGAACATTATTCCTTTTATCAAAATTTGCAATCTAGGACTTCCACCAAGATGGAGGCATAGGTGGAGACGCCCTGATTTCTCACACGACCAAGTTTAGAGACAATGAAATATTAGCAACAGAAAACACAACCAGAACACAGAAAATTGAACTTTTCGGAAGTCTGATAACAACGAATTCTTCAGCCTGACCGGTAAGAGGGGTGAAACCAGCAGCTGGTAGAGCGGGGTTGCACAGGAAAACTCGGTCAGATGGACTCAGGCGCGCGGATCCCAGGCGTGGGGTTGCAAAGGGCAGACCCAGTGGGCGACCCAGGGAGTGACCCAGTGAGCCACCGGTGGACCCGGCGAGGGTGCAGGGCGGCGGGTTGACTGTGGTGGCGCATTCCTGCGCAGATAGACTGGCAAAGGAGTGGGCGGTGAGACTGGACTGAGCAGGCCCCAGCGGCGGAGGCGACAGAGGGGGCCGCCGTTTCCCCGCTCCGACCCCACCCCCACATACAGCAAGCATCCTGAGTGGCCCTACCCTAGTGAACACCTAAGGCTCTGCTCCTCATACTTAACGGGCAGGAACAGACCAAAAATGGCTCAGGAAGATTTCAAAGCCCCAGAGCCTGTAACTCTAAGCGATGAAGAAATAGAAAAACTTTCAGATGCACAGTTCAAAACACTGGTGATCGGGATGCTCACAGAACTGGTTGATTTTAGTCACAAATTAGAGGAACATATGAAGGATAAACTAATTGAAATGAAGGGAATTGCACAGGAAACCAATAGTGATGAAAAGGAAACTGGGACTCAGATCAATGGAGTGGACCAGAAGGAAGGAAAAAATGACCAAATAGGAAAATATGAAGAAACAAGAATTCAAAAAAATGAGGAGAGACTTAGGAACCTCCAGGACATCTTTAAATGCTCCAACATCTGAATTATAGGGGTACCAGAAGGGGGAAAGGAACAGCCACCAGTGGAAAACTTATTTGAACAAATAATAAAGGAGAATTTCCCCAATCTGGCAAAGGAAATAGACTTCCAGGAAATCCAGGAAGCTCAGAGAGTCCCAAAGAAGGAGGATCCAAGGAGGAACACACCAAGGCACATCATCATTACATTAGCCAAGATTAAAATGAAGGAGAGAATCCTAGAAGCAGCAAGAGCTAAGGGGACAGTCACCTACAAAGGAGTCCCCATCAGACTGTCAGCAGATTTCTCAAAAGAGACCTTACAGGCACAAAGGGGCTGGAAAGAGGTATTCCAAGTCATGAAATCTAAAGACCTACAACCAAGATTGCTCTATCCAGCAAAACTTTCATTTAAAATGGAAGGACAGATAAGGTGCTTCTCAGATAAGATCAAATTCAAGGAGTTCATCATCACCAAGCCCTTATTATATGAAATGTTAAAGGGACTTATCTAAGAAAAAGAAGTTAAAGAAACATGAACAATGAAAGGACAACAAACTCACAGTTATCAACAACCACACCTAAAACAAAAGCAAACTAAAAGGACAGCTAGATCAGGAGTGGAAACATAGAAATGAAGATCTCAAGGAGGGTTAGCAACAGGGGAGTGGGAGGAGGAGAAGGGGGGAGAAGGTACAGAAAATAAGTAGCATAGACGGTAGGTAGAAAATAGATAAGGGGAGGGCAAGAATAGCATGGGAAATATAGAATCTAAAGAACTTGAGACACATGGTCATAAACTAAAGGGGGGAAATAGTGGGGGTGGGGGTGCAGGGTGGAGGGGAATGAAGAGGGGGAATAAAACAACTGTAATGGCATAATCAATAAAATAAAAGTTAAAAAAAATTTTGCATTCTAAATACTGTATCTGACATTCCATTCCCTCTAAATGACTTATTTTTGGTAAGTAACTTAGCACATGCCTGGGAGGCAGGCCAGGTTCCCACTAGGGGGCGTGGGAGAGGCAACCACACATTGATGTTTCTTTCTCCCTCCCTTCTCTCTCTAAAAATAAAATAAAATCTTACAAGAAGACTGTCTTTCCTAAAATGCACATTCTGTGAGTGATTTCCGCTACCTCTTTCAGTTTAGATAGGCGGGGTTTCCAGCCATTCTATTAAAAATATTTTAAATTCTAGCTTTGTGCAGTGGCAGTATTGTAGCCAATGAGGTTTAAATTCTATAATAATATATATTTTTAAGATTTGAAAATTTTAGAAGTAGGCTTTTAAAGTTTAAAAATATATTAGAGATGCATTTTTAAATTTTCCTAATACATACCAAATATTCTTTGTTATTGATCTTAAATTGTCATAGATTTGGGCAGCAATCATGTTCTATGTAAGTTTGATTCTTTTTCCAAATGTCTGCCTATATGTACCTGAAAAGAATGTGTATTTTCTACTTTTTCTAAAATTCTACATATTTTCATTAGAGCAAGCTTGTCGATTATCTTGTTTTATTTTTCAGCCTTTAGTAATATTTGTCTGATTTATGAGTTTCTGAGAGATGTGGATGAAAAATTTTTTTTAAACAATGATTTTTTTTAAAGATTTTATTTATTTATCTTTAGAGGAGATAGGAAGGAGAGAGGGAGAGAAATATCAATGTATGGTTGCCTTTCGTGCATCCCCTGCTGGGAAGTGGCCTGCAGGGAACCGGCCTGCAACCCGGGCATGTGCCCTGACTGGGAATCGAACCGTGATTGTCTGGTTCGCAGGCCCGTGCTCAATCCACTGAGCTACACCAGCCAGGGCGAAAAATTTTCTATTGCTATAAATTAATTTTTAACGCATCCTTGCACAGGGAGTCTGAGAGCACGTGGGAGTGGTCCTAGCCAGCCTGGCAGAGTGAGGAAAGGCTTCTCAGTGGAGTGGTGATTGGTCCCCAAAGGGAAGAGGTGAGTGCCTCACCAGCCTTGGCTCCTTCTCACCCAGAGAGAAATGGGAGAGAAAGAGAGTAAGAGATGGGGTGAGGGAAAGAGGTGTGCTGATAGGGAGAGATGGGGAGGGAAAACTTGGAGAGATACAGGGAGACGGAAAAAGATGAGGAGAGAGACCAGGGAAGAGAGAAGGATGGAGAGAGAGGGTGTCTTTCACCTGGAAGGTGCTAACTAAACATTTGTTGAATGCTCACAGCACAGAAATAAATTAATGAATAAACAGGCATGTGTGTGTGTGTGTGTGTGTATAGATGAGGGGTATAGCAATGTGGGGTATGGGGAGAGAGAGAGGGAAGAAACAAGTGATACGAATAAAGATGGTGAGACAAAAGAGTGGAGGACAGAGATATGACATAAGGACAGAGGTGAAGGGAAGAGCTGTAGGGGAGATGAAGCTAAGATGGCCGGCACACAGAAGGCACTCAGTGAAATCATTGTTGAATGGATGGATGAGCTCTGATGCTCAGAGAGGGAGATATGGAGTGATACTGAGAAGAAATCATGCTATTTATCAAAGAAGCCACTGTACTAGTTTCATCTTGAGATGAAGGCCTTAACTAGCAGTGAGAATTGAGGCAGAGAGATACCTAAGACATTTCAGAGGCAGAATGGACCAAACTTAGAGATTGCGTGGATGGGGAGATTAAGGGAGAAGGCAGAATAGGATAAATCCTGAGGATTTCCCTTAAGTGAATGGATGGTTGTGTTTCCATTCACTGAGACAGAATACAGGAGGCTGACCCAGTATGGCAGGCACTGATGGTTTTGGAGTGTCCCTGTACCATTCTGGAGGAGTGTCTAGAGGGCAGTTAGCTATTCTGGACTCAGACCTTGAGAAAGAGGTCTGAGATAAAGGTGCAGACTGAGATGGAGATATAGCTTGGGGAGGCAGTGGTTAAAACTGTGGTTACAATAGGGTTGCCTGGATAAGTCCATTGCAGATGCTTAAAACGTGTTGATTCCAATTGAGAGAAACTCCAACAGGAGAATGGTGTGAATGTGTGTGTGTAGGGTACAGGAGTCTGGAGGGACTCAGGCTTGACTGCTGTTATGTTCCTGTGAAAAAGTGGGTAAGATTACAAAGTGGAACAGCTTCCATAGTGACGAGATCTAAGGTGTCGGTCTTGCAGAGTCAAGGTGTTGGTTGGCGTGGACAAGGTGAAGCAACTGTGAAATCGAGGATTGAAAAGTCATTTATAAGACATATACAAAATGTTCATAGAAGCCCTGGCCAGCTCACTCAGTTGGTTGGAATGTCATCCCAATGTGCCAAGGCTGCGGGGTCCAATCCCTGCTCACAACACATACAAGAATCAACCAGTGAATGTGTAGACAAGTAAAACAACAAATCCATGTCTCTCCCTCTCTCTCTCTAAAATCAATTAAAATTTAAAAAACATTTTATGTATTTATTTTTAGAGAGGGGGAAGGGAGGGACAAAGAGGAGAGAAACATTGATGTGTGAGAGAAACATCAATCAGGTGTGTCTTGCACACCCCCCGTTGGGGACCTGGCCCACGACTCAGGCATGTGCCCTGACTGGGAATCGAACCGGTGACCTTTGGTTTTGCAGGACGATGCCCAGCCCACTGACCCATACCAGTCAGGGCAATAAATAAAAATTTTTAAAAAGAATGTTCATAGGAGATTTTTTCACAGTAGCAAAAAAATAAGAAACAACCCAATTGTACACCGTGAAGTAAATGGATAAACAAAGTAGTATAGCCCTGGCTGGTGTGGCTCAGTGGACTGAGCACCAGCCTGCGAACGAAAGGGTCGCTGGTTCCCTCCCCAGTCAGGGCACATGCCTGGGTTGCGGGCCAAGTCCCCAGCTGGGGGTGTGTGAGAGGCATTGATGTTTCTCTCCTTCTCTTTCTTCCCCCCTTCTCCTCTCTCTAAAAACAAACAAATAAATATCTTAAAAAAAAAACTAGTGTAATTGACATTACTCAGCAATAAAGGCACAAACTACTGAGAGCAACAACATAGGTAAATGTCACAGACATTATGCAGATTGAAAGAAGCCAGATACAAGAGTGCATACCACATGACTCCATTCATATGAAGTTCAAAAACAGATTAAACTAATCTGTAGGGGTATAAAACCATAGACTTATAACCCCTATAGACTACAGGGAGGGGAGAGGGATTGACCAAAAATGGACATGGGGAAAATTCTGGGGTGATGGTGTTACCGAACAAGAGGTCCGAGGGAGGGGAGCAATACAATATTTGGCCCACCTAGGGATGCCAAATATTGCTACACAACAGGGGCCCCTCCCAAGGATGGAATACTAAAATCTACTGGGCTCTTCTGTCCACCGCCAATTGGAAAGACATCTCTCAATGCCAGAGATTTGTGAAAAGGAAACAAAATGTTTATTTAATTCTATTCAGGCCTAACGCCTCCACTAAAATATCAAAGTCCTTTAGGTTGTACTCTTACACCCACACAGTGCTCCCTTCTCCCACTGTCCCAACTCTGGGTACCGTAAATCAGGAAAAGAGGACACGTCTGTGTTGCAGGCCCCTGGCACCGTCAGCTGTGTCACCGTGCAGGCAGGATCTCGAGTTAATCCAAAGTACTGTGGCACCCTCTCATGGTCCACTGGCAAGAGTTCTTTGTACCCACTTCCAGTCAAAGTCTCTCCTGCTTTCCAGGCCACACGGCCAAAGGGGGCACCCCAAAGCCGCATGGACCTCTTCTACCAAAGCTGCAGGGGTTCGCACTCCACCAAAAGCATGTGGCTTTCTTCTTCACCTGGCTGCAGGGATCTCCATTCTGGCAAAGCTGCATGGTTTTCCCTTTCACCTGGGAAAGGGGGGGTCCGCACTCTGCTGAAACCATGTTGCTCTCTCCTCACCTGGGCAGTTAGCCCCTCATGTCCCGGAGCCAATCTTTTCCAAGCTCTCATGCAGGCACTGTAACTTGGGGGAACTGCCCCCAGTTACATCCTGGGTAGAAGCCACTCCCTTCTCCCTGGCTCAAAACTTGGCCATAGCTATTTAACATATCTATGAAAACCAGTTAAAGGTTATAGATATGTTAAATAATCATTCCAGAGGTTAGCTGCAAAACTGTTGCTATGCACAACAGCTCTCAATGGCCCTGGCTCCATTCGTCCCTTCCCCCTGGGGTGGGGGTGAGGACATCTTATATGTCTCTCCAATATTCCTATACACTTTGAATTCTGGACACCATTCCAAATCTTTTTTTTGGGAGGCCCCCTCTTGGCTGCACCCTGTATCAATGGGAATCATCTATATGTCAATGGCAGTGCTGTTTGAGGACTCACCAGAGGTGGGTCATCAAACTATACTCTTAAGATCTGTGCATTTTACTGTATATACTATATCTCTGATTAAAATGTCATCTGCCTGGACATTGTATCTTCCAGAGAGATAACAGAGGTTGAAGTAGAGAGGAAGCCAGAGAGTCAGATGCCATCTGTCAGTGACTGTGGGGGAGGTGGGACGAACGCCAAGGGGAGAATGGAGGTGATGGGATTCAATGCTTGGACCCTCAGAGAAGAAATTGTGGTCAGAAATTGAAAGTATAAACTAGGACCAATACTTAGTTTGAAAACACTTACAAGGACTTGTCCAGAGATGTCACTCATATCTCACCCCTTCCTGCACTTAGAGGAGGAAGCACCAGGTGAGATGGAATCACCTTTGTTGGGGTTCCAGAGTCCCTTCTGGGTTGTCACTTCTTCACCTGCTCTGAGCTCCGAGGTGGGAATTTACTTGTTCTGATCACACTGAAGCCAGCCCACAGCAGGATGTTAAACAAGTTAGACCAGCCCTGGCTGGGTAGTTCAGTTGATTAGAGGATCATTCCTATACACCAAGTTTGCAGGTTCAATCCTGGCTCAAGAACTAACCAATGAAAAACTGATGTCTCTCCTTCTCTCTTTCTGAATTAAAAAACGGATGTCTCTCTTTCTAAAAATCAATTAAAAAATTAGTTAGGCCAGAGATGTGTGTACATCCACGTTACACCTTTTCTTTTTCTTTTATTTTTCATCTTTAAACATTAAAAAAATTAATTTGTTTTTATTATTTATGCTATTACAGTTGTTCATGCTTTTCCTTCCTTTCTCCACGTCCACCCAACAACTTTTCTATTCATTGCCTCTCCTCTTGAGTCCCTGGTAAAATTTTCTTTTGAAAAATTCCATCCCTGTGTACGTTGAGCTGATTTGAGTGGTAGTTCCCATCCTTTGGGTGAAAGTTCCCCAGAGCATCTCAGAATTATTGAAAAAGTTCTACACAGGATTTATTCTAGATGGGCTTAAAAAATCTAAATGTTGTCTTTGGAATCCACAGCATTTTTGTATATTTAAAATCATAAGTAAATAAAAGAGGTAGAGAGAACAAAACACCCGTGAGTTCAGGCCCAGCTATCACGTGGGCCATTTCTAGCCCATGACTGGGGAGGAGCTACCAGACACTGAGCACCCAGCACAGCAGGATCTGGAAGTGAGAGATGCTACTCCTCCCATTTTCCACATGTGCTAGTGATGGAACCAGGACTCCAACTTAGGCTGACTTGACTTCTAAGCTGTGTTGCTTTGGGCCCTGAAGTAGAGCTCTGTGAGTAAGTGTGTCTGCACTGTGAAAGTAAGGTTTTACCTTCAGGCCAGTCACCCACTCCAGCCCCCACCCCCACTCCACTAAGTGGTCACCTTCTCTCCCCCTCAAAACCATGGGTTTCTCACAGTTGAGTAGAACACACAATTTTCTCTACATTGACTCTGTGCAGGGTGATTGGTGTTGATAGCAAGAGGCAAGGTAAGGGACAGGGCAGAAGCTGGAATTTAAGGCCCTGAGGAGGTTTCTCATGCAATGTAACCACCAGGGGGCAGCCTTTCCTTGCTTTGGCACCTCAGTTCCACACCTGGTTAGGCCACCCCGCCCGGTATGTGTGCTGGCCTAGGTGGTTCAGAGTAAGTTAAATAATTTGTTCAAGTTTATATAATTAGCTTGTTGGGGAGCTGGCATTTGAACCCAACCTGACTCTAAGCCAGAATTCTTAAGCACAAAAATTACTGCTTCTCCAGAAAAACAAAACAAAACACTCCAGTTCACTGCAATGAAGGGGAACTGGGTGTGTGTGTGTGTGTGTGTGTGTGTGTAGACCTAGACACACAGACAGAAAGAAAAATAACATGTTAATCTAAAAGGAGCCAGAGAGAAGTGTGTGGTGAGAGCTGGGCCCATGTTTCACTAGACACATTACAGGTAATCTCTCTTTTTTACCTGCTGTGTTGTCTCACAAAGGTCTTAGATGTGTGTGGCATACTCTTGTATTAATCCCTGTATAACTTTGGAGTCACATATAACACAATGTGTCTTTCATTTGTGTCTGTACAAACACATTCCATGTAATAGACGCTTTGTAATTTCTCAATAAATGTTAAACAATGAATAAAATAATAAATGAGTGAATTTACTAGTGGGTGATAAGTCCGCACACAGCGTTCCCTCCGTGAGAGGTGAGTTCCTTTAGTGGGGATCTGGGTGGGTCCAAGCATCTCCATCAGCTGCACTCGCTCTGCCAAACCTTGCTAGTCAACAGTCTAAGTTAAACAGGGACTAAGTCCCTAGCAACCCCTGTCACCACCACCAATCAGTTTGCTTCTCCTAAACCCTATAATTATAGAATTTCTAGAGCTGCTCTGGGAGAGATCCAGATTCAAGGGAGAAAATGGCTGAGGTGGGCCTGGGCCCTGTTGAGCCAAGGGGTAGGGCCATAGGTTAGCTCTGGGCCAGAAGGGCTCTTGGAGGTGCTTCTGGGTTAAGGGTTGGTCTTCTTGAACATCGGAAGTTGGGGGAACCACATCCTGGTCTCACCTGCCCACCCACCCACCCTGGTGTTACCAGACATCTAAGCCCTACCCTCTCCCTCAAATACTTAGGCAACCTGCTCCCATCTCCTCATGACTCAGAGCAGATATCAGCATCAGCAGAAGCCTCTCTCCTCAGAGAGGCATGCATTTCGTACCCAAGTCCCAGGCGGTTAAGGTCCTTGGCAAAAGATACGTGAGTCCTGTGGGTCATAGAAAGCTTCCCACCCTCATCGTGACCAAAGGCCTTCAAGACCGAAGACCATTCCGCCTCTGCTCGGACCTCACTGCCCAGGTTCCCTTCAACTGGAATGTCCTCCGGCACGGCCCAGATGCTGTTGCTCATCTTCATCGTGGTCTATCCAGGTGACAGGGCTTTCTCCTGGGACTCTGAGAGCTATGGGACTGGGAGGAGGAAGAATGAGGGAGGCCAGACATGGATGTCCTGGGGTACAGGCTGGTGGGGGCTGAATATTGAGCCCTGAGGGGAGTGACAAGGAAAGAGAGTGGGAGTAGGTAGCCCTCCACAAAGCCGAAATCCAGGGACTCCCCCGTTCAGTTCCTTTCATGTTGCCTGCTGGCGGAGTCACTCCCCAGCTTCCACCCAGAGCTCTTTTCTTCTCAGCCACCTACCTAAAAGGATAAAGTTGAAAGGACCAATAAAATTGGCTTGAAGGGATCTATTTTTTTAAGGGGTCAGTTTTAATTTGATGAGCTTAATAAGCCTATTAAACAAGGCTTATTATCTGGGTCTAGATATAATTAGGAGTTTGGAAGACCTAATTAAATCTGAGATACGTTTCTTAGTGAAATTGATTTTAATGAACTGAGAGACCTTACCTATCAGACATATTCCTTAACTAAATGCAGTGTGGACTCCAGACATGTAGCTTCAGATCAGCTAGAACCTGGGGCAAATCTAGGCCCCCACTCCAGACCCACAGAATAAAAAAGTCTAGGGGTGGGGCCCAGGGATCTGGTTTAAGAAAGACTCCAGGTGATTTCAATGAGCTCTTAAATTTGAGGACCACTGAAATAGAAGAATGACTGCTCAATCTCACTAATCAGAGAATTTGATCAGGGATTTTAATAACTGATTTAATTCTTCAATTTAGATAATTTAAATAGGGATGACAATCAATTATAACCAGGTCCTCACCCAATGTTTTAAGTAGTTAATGCTCTTTAACAAAAACCAAAGTGGCAAGGGCGGTGCACTATTGAATGTCATTAGCACAAAAATAATACCTAGAATGATATAGTTAATGCTATCAGTGAATTAGGCAGCCACATTCATTAATGAGCTTCAATTTCATTGTGACAGGTTAAATTTCAGCAAGATGTTACTGGTGAGTGTAGCTGGAAAATGATGAAAGTGGGGTGTGAGAGTTGCTATAGGAAAGAATTTGAAAATGATTTAATAAGCAATGTTAAGACATTAGATTGGTAAAAAGGAATGGGTTTAATGAGGCACCCGATGTGTTAGTCCCCTGACTCTCTGTGGGTCAGCGACAGCTAGGATATTCTACTGCAAGCTCTCTCGTCTTTTCAGAGTAACTGGGGAGGCATTTATCTGGGTCTTCTCTCTGCCCCTAGAATCCTGTGCTCTCTGGGTGTCCCAGCCCCCCGAGATTCATACCCAGGAGGGTGCCACTGCCCTCCTGCCCTGCTCCTTCAATGCCAGCCAAGGGAGACTGGCCATTGGCTCCGTCGTGTGGTACCGGGGTAAGGTGGCCCCAGGGAAGGAGGTGAGGAATAGGACTCCAGAGTTCAGAGGCCGCCTGGCCCCTCTTGCCTCTTCCCGCTTCCTCTGTGACCACCAGGCTGAGCTGCAGATTTGGGACACCCGAGGCAGTGACGCTGGAATCTATGTGTGCAGTGTGGAGGTGCTGGGCCTGGGTGTCGGGACGGGGAATGGGACTCTGCTGGTGGTGGAGAAAGGTGAGGCCCCAGGAGACTGCATGTCCTTGGCTAGAGGCTCCGCTCTCCCTGGAGGCTGAGAGTCCTTCTCTGAGGCTCCCTGCCCTCTACCCCTCCCTGAGCCGATGCACGTTTGTTCCCTGGGACCCCTTTACTAAGCTCTTCTTTTTTACCACCCATATGCAGGACCTCCTGGGCTAGGGGCCCTCACAGTCCTCCTCCTTCGGGCTGGATTCTACGCCTTCAGCTTTCTCTCCGTGGCCATGGGCAGCACCATCTATTACCAAGGCAGATGTGAGTTATGGAGCCACAGCAATGGAAGAGATGGAGGGACAGTGAGAGAGCTGGAGGAGGGGGACACAGAGATCAAGAAGAGAACTGACTCTGGCCATATCACCACCAGGACACTGTCACGTGGGAACACACTGCCACAGCTTGGATGGCCTCTGCTAAGTGATTCTAGACCCCAGTGATCCCAGTGCTCATCAGAAGACTCCAATAAATCTCTGTCTGTTCCACCACTAACTTCTAATGGGTCTTATGTATTTCTTTCTGCATTTTCTGGATGCCCTGTGTGCCCTTCTCCAGGTTCCCCTGATTCTTAACTCTCCCTTCTGCTAAGCCTGACCTGGAAAGGTCTAAGAAGGGAGCTTCCCAGCAACTGTGCCTGGAGCCTCTCCCTCCACTATTCTGGGGCTCTACAGGATAGGACCCAACTCTCCTGGGCCCGGGACGCTGAGGCTGATTCTCAAGACGTATCAAATCTGATTGGTCCTACTTGTCAGTCGCCCATAGACAAATATAAAAGTCTGCCCCAATCTACGGGAGACACGTTCCAAAACTCCTGTTTTTTTTCTTTATGTACATATCTATGATAAACTTTAATTTATGAATCAGGCACAGTAAGAGATAAAAACAACAGTAATAAAATAGAAGAATTATAACAACATACTGTAATAAAAATTATATGAATGTCCTATCTCCCTCTCTCAAAATATTGTATTGTCTTGTACTCACCCTTCTTCTTGTGACATGTGAGATGATACAGTGCTTGCCTATGTGATGAGATGAAGTGAGGTGGATGACGTGAATGACGTCGGCACCGGCCCTGTGACAGAGCGTTAGGCTTGGTAGTGGTGACTTGGACACAAGCACTGCAACACCTCGACAGCTGGGCTTGTGAGCCAGTTGGTCGCACGGCAGCTGGGTAGCGCATCCAGGGTGGATTTGCTGCACAAACGGACGACTCGTGTACCAGGCAGGAGGAAGCGGGACAGCATGAAATTTCAGCAAGCTACTCAGAATGGTGTGCAATTTGAAATTTAGGAATCGTTTATTTCTGGAATTTTCCATTTAATATTTTCTGCCTGCAGGTAACTGAAATAGTAGAAAGCGAAATCGCATATAAGGGGCGGGGCAGGGTCTATTATGCTCTGTTCTGGCCTCAGGGGAGCTTGGGTCCCCAAAGACCCTTCTTCATCCGATAAGTCACTACTCAATCCCAGAGTGGATGGGAAGGTAAGTCAATTAAGTTCCGATTGTGGCCATATTGAATGGGGGGGGCATAATGAATGGGGGGGGGGGACTTGAGACAGACTGAGAAGTCTGAGACGTGGGAGGCCTCAAGACCACGGCCTTTGCTGGGTGAGCCACAGGACTTTTGCCTGGGTTGAGGGCGGTGTCTGGGGCTCTCAGGTGGGTTTGTTTTCAGCGATGCAGGCGTAGTTGGTACTGGGGTCCTCCGTGGAGCCTTCCCTGTCTGGATGGCGAAGGTCAGGTCGCTTGCAGTAGGGCAGCGCTGGCAGAGACGCACAGTGGAGTTCCTGCTCCGAGAGCCCAGTGCTGAAGCCGACAGGAGGAGGTGGCAGTAGGGGCCTTCCTCCGGAGCCTGCCCCGGGAGTTTCTGCCCCACCCCCACTTGCTGACGTCACTGCCTTCTCAGTCTCTCCTCCCCACTCCCCTCCCGCCTCCCCGACTTCCCGCCCCCTCAGCTCAGGCTCTTCCCCCGATTTCCCTTTCGCTGTAGTCTCACTGTCCACCTCCTCTGCCCCCGCCCCTTACCCTAATTCTCTCTCACTTCCTCTCTTGGTGTCTCTCTCTCTCTCTTCTCCCAGTCTTTTTTTTTTTCTCTTTTGCTCTCACTCTTGTCTCTCTCATTTCTCCCCCTCTTTCTCTTTTGTTTCACTTCCTTTTCCTATCTCTACACCATTTCTTTCATCTCTTCTACCCATTCTCTTATTTCTCTTTTTGCCTCTCTCTTATTTTTCTCTCAGTGACTCTCTCATGCTCCTGCCTTCTCTCTCTTCCCTGGCCCCCACCATCTCAAGCCTCAGCCTTCTCTAGTGGGGCCCCCTCACCCACTTCCCTGCCCCTGCACTCACCTAGCTTCTTTCCAGCTTCCTCACTGGAAGAAAAAAATAGGTCAGCGTGGCCCAACCTTTGTGCCCCCACCATGCCCCGCCCCCCCAGGTCTGCTCCTCACTTGCTGATTTGCCTGTTGTTCCCATGGCCAAAGCCCCGGACTCTCTTTTTGGACACTCTTCCCTTCCCTCTCCCAGCTTCCTCACCAGGGCGTGTCAGGGTTGATGGGAGCTTCTGGGAAAGCGGTTAGAAAGGTTGTGGGTGTGGGTCCCTTGGGGCATTGCTGTGCGGTGCTGACAAAAGTCAGGGTGGGCTCGCCTCTCCGATACAGCCAACACATACAGGAGGGCAGAACCACAACGAGGAGCCCTCCCAGCCCTGAGCTGCCGTAGAGGTAAAGGCATTTGTCTGCAGGAAAAAGGACTGAGTGTGAGAGGGCCCCTTTCCCTCTTCAGCCTGCCTCATCCTCCTGGTTGGTGGGGATACCTCAGCGCCCCCTCCCACAGAATTAGAGGCAGACTAATATACTCTCCAAGATTCTTCTCACCTCCTACCAGAGGGACCCACCCATCATTGGTCACATCACTCACTGCTGAAACCTCTTATCCCTCAGAGGCTCCCATTGCCACCCCTACTGCATCTGGGCATCCCTGTGAAGTCCCTTGCCCACCTCACTGCTGGTCCTGAGAGGTCACCTACTCATGAACTGCACACACCACTTTTCACACACTGCACCCTGTGCGAGGGTTACCTTGACTGTACGGAATCATTCAAATCTGACATTAGGTTGGGGACTGAAGACTGGCTTGGAGGCCAGAAAACCCGGCCCCTGCCCTGTCAGCCTAAATGGCCTGGGGTGAGTTGTGTGCCTCCAGTTCCTCAGCTGGAAAGTACAGATTCTCTGTTATAATCTTCCCGGGCTGAGTACCCTCACTCCTGTGCAGCCTGAACTGGGCACTTTCCATTCATCACTGCATACAGGAGGGTGCGCTGGTACCCATCTCCCTGGTGAGGAACCAGTCCAGAAGTGCCAGAGCTGGGGTTCAAGTTCATTTTTGTCCAGCTCCAGAGCCCATCCCCTTTCCCTGCCCCAGGCTGACCATAAGGGCCTCCCCAACACTGGATACCTCTAAATTCTGTTCAGAAAGGGAGTTGATGGAAAAGGAGAAGCAAGAGTATGGAATGCCTGCGGGGACTGGTGGAAATGTAGGGAGGGAAGCGTCTGATAGAATGTTCTGGGGCTTCGAGAACAAAGCCACCTCCTATGCTATAACCAAGAAGGTATGCGCCACCAGCTAAATACCTGACTACTAACCACGAGATTCCCTGTTATCAGAAGCAATTGAGGCATAACTCTGCATCCTTCTGAAAACCTGTTCAATCCTCACTGCCCTCCTTTCTCCCTCGAGCTTTTCCCAGAAGGAAGGCCCATAAATCTCCCTGACTTTTTGTCACCGAATCAGCCATCCCCGATCAGAGGATATTGTCTTGCAAACACCTACACCCTGGACACCTAGGGTGGATTAGGAGGGTGACCCACCCTCCCTTGGGGCAGCTATACACCCTTAAAAGCCCTTCTGCCCTTTTCCTTACTGCTGTAGTCTGCTTGGACTCAGTCCGCCTGATCTCAGTGTCTGGCCTTAAACAAAAGCCCTTAATTGGACCTCTTTGACTCCCGGTCCTTTCTTAGCCACCTTGGTGACCTAAAAGTATCCAGCACCACCTGGCCCCGAGGGCTGCTCCTTCAGCCCCAGAGCGACTCAGGAGAGCTTGAAGAGTCGCTTCTTATGGGGCAGATTCTGCAGGGCTGAAATGGGCCATGGAGGAGTGTCTGGGGCCCCATAACTTCCCTTCAGGCACTTCCTGTCCTACAACCACTGGTTCCTGTTTAAAGGCAAAGAGGGGGCCTCTGACTTCACCCCAGAGCCAGATGCACTGAATTCTGGGATGTGTGGGGCAGCGGGAGCAGAAGCCCAGGTGGAGAGGAGGGCCTGAGGTTGCCACAGAAGGCAGTAGGGGCAGAAGTGGATTGTTTTTAATTTTGGAAGGCAGCAGAGACGGAGGGTGGGCAGAGGGTTCCTCCAGGGCCAAGGGGACATCAAAGCTATACTTTCTTGACCATAGCCTCATCTTACTCTGGGGTGTGCCTGTCCCGCACCCTCCCCCAAGGGCCCCTGCACCTTTCCAACTTACCCAGAGCCTATGGCCTGCAGGGGGTTGAGGGTTGGGTGGGGCAACTCAAGACTGGCTATAGCTGCCTGGGTGGAAGGAATTGTTGCCACCTATGACATTCCCGCCCCTTCTCTGGCTTTAACTTCTCTCCCAGCCTTGAGGCCTCCCCAGCATCATTAGAACAGGAAGTTAGGCTTTGAGGGTAGGGTTAGGACATTTTTCCTTTCAGACTCCTTAGACTGTAGAGAAGCCTGTAACCTCTCAGATCTTGCCATCCTATTGACCCTGCAAGGAGTCAGTGACTGCATCCATCCTCCAGGTGCCTTCCCTGATTAACTTTCTCCCAGTTACTTCTCGAACTGCATCCACTGAGAGCTCATGATCTCAGTGTATGTGTGTGGACACACCCTAGGTCCCGCACCAGACTGGGAGCTCTGGTGGTTTGGGGGTGACTCACCTTCTCGAGTTCCAGGCTCTAACTAGCAGGGTGCTTGGCCAATGGATTTACAAATAGGAAAGTCAAAGGCAGACTAGATCTACATAAGTGTTGCTGTTAGATCTAGGATAGAAAGTTGATGATAAATTGGTGTTTTGAAAAAAGGGATGGGTAATCCAGGTGGACTTTTGCTAGAGGCAGCATTCTGATATTAAGCACAAAAGTAAGTAAAGGCAGTAGTCCGAGGCTCTCTGGACAGAGTTGTGGATGAAGCCCTCTCAGTGGTACTGTGATGGTCAGGGAGGTGTGTGCTGGAGGGCTGCACACCCTTCCTTGAGGAGGGTGGGCTGGGGAACTCACGGAGGCAAGGGGTCAGGAGGAGATCTGGTGCCTGGGTCCGTGAGCATTTGCATTTTCTTCTCCAAATTCAGAAACCTTTTGCTATTTCCTCTCCCTCCCCCTTCATATTGTTTTTTTTTTTCTTTCTTGCAGGACAGTAGGACAATATTCAGTCTGGGGAAGTTTTATACATTTATCATTAAAAAGTTTAAACATAGAAAAAATGGAAAGAATTGTACAGTGAACATATCTCTATCATCTAGATTCTTCAATTAAACATTTTTCTATATTTTCTTTATCACTTATATATCAATCTGTCTCATTTTTTTATTCCTTTCACAGTTGCGAACATCAGTACATTTCATCTCTAAACCCTTTGCCATTGCCATGTTTAGCATTGTCTTGAGTTCATTATTTGTTTCTCTGTTTCTCTTTTGAAGAGTTGAGGAAGGCAAAGTTTACATGTAGTGAAATGCACAAATCTGAACTCACTTTGTTTTTTTTTTTAAGACTTTATTTATTTATTTTTAGAGGGGAAGGGAAGGAGAGAAATATCAATGTATGGTTGCCTCTCAGGCGTCTCCTGCCTGGAACTGGCCTGCAACCCAGGCATGTGCCCTGACTGGGAATTGAACTGCAACCCTTTAGTTCCCAGGCCCGCATTCAATCCACTGAGCTACTCCAGCCAGGGCTAAACTCACTTAGTTTTAAACTGTCTTTTGATCAAGGCTCTGGAGCCAGGCTGCCTGGGTTCAAATTCCTACTCCCCCACTACTGTGTGACTTTCCACAAGTTCCTAATGTCTCTCTGCCTCAGTTTCCTCTTACAGGATTTTTATTGGGATTAAAATAATTATTATATATAAAGTGTATGCATCAGTTGCAGGCATATACTAAGTGCTGTTTGTCTATTAACTATATTGTCATTATTATCCAAACATACAGAGATGCCACTGAGAAAGGGAGATGATCTGCAACCACCTATAACTTCCTTGGACCTGGTCTTTCCCTCAACTCCTACTTCACGGTCTGTGCTAACATTCGTTTGATCTGTGCTGCCTGGTCTTGCTTACTCATTCATTTGTCCTTTCTTCATCTGTTCATAAACATTTAGTCATCACCTACTCAATGGATGGGGCTCATTCTGGGCTGCAAGCTCTTTGAGGACATGCCTTATGGCCTTCTCGTGTGTACTCTGCAGCCAGGGAGGTAATGCTCATTCCATCCCTCTTCAGTGAGACCCCCTTCAGCTGCCATTGCTGTGGACTCAGCTCTGGGGGGTGGGGGAGACAGGAATGGAGGAGGTCAGTCCAGTGTGGGGAAAATGTTCTTCTTAGGGACCTGGACGTCCATCCCTCAAGACCCTAGTTCTTGACATCAGGCAGGGCTGTGGGTGCAGACTTCTCTCCAGCACCCACCTCTGGGGTGCAGAAGCCTGCAGGATGCACTGGATATTGGGAGTTCTGTGTTCTCATTGCAGCTTTGCTGACAGACTTTTCTGCAATCTCCCTGCTCTGCCTGCGCCTCAGTTTCCTTCCCTACTGAGCCAGAAGATCTCTAAGACCCCCTCCGGATCTACACTGAAAGCCTGTCTCTCCACCTCCACTCCTTCCCCAGTTCAAGGAACCCCAGCATCCAGCTGCCCCACCCCAGCTCTGTGTAAACAGGAAGCTGGGTGAGGGGAGCAGGGGTGTGTGGAAAGTCCCAAGCAGGTGTGTGGGTCTATGGGGAGGGTGGGCCCCACCCCTGAGATATGAAAGCCCCCCTCCCCTGGCCCTGGCTCAGTCTCAATGGGGGCACTGGGGCTGGAAGGCTGGGGGAGGAGGCCCCGGGGGAAGGGCTGCCTCCTGCTGGCTGTGGCAGGAACCACTTCCCTGGTGACTTTACTGCTGGCTGTGCCTATCACTGTCCTGGCTGTGCTGGCTGTGGTGTCCCAGAAGCAAGGAGGACTGGTGAGTGGCTGCAACAAGTACCCAGAGGGCTGTTGCTCATGCTCACTTATTTCTGGCTATGCCTGAGGTCTCTTGTGTCACCTGCTCAGCTGGCTTGGCTGTCTCTGGCAGGGATTTCTGGTTCTCCTCTTTGCTGGCTCTTTCCATGTTCCTGTGATGCTGTTGTGTCCTGATGTCTCCAGGCTCCTTCCTGGTTGTCTCTCTGTCTCCTTCCTCTTCCCAAGAAATACTTAGGCTTCAGTCTCCCTGTCCAAGTGTATCTACCTTGACTGCTCCCCTGCCAGGGAGATGGCTGTTGGACTGGGAGGGGTGGGATTGGCATCAGCTGAGACTGAATTCTGGCCACTGTGACCCCACCCACTCAGGTAACGGAGACCACTGACCCAGGGGCACGAGCAAAGGCCCAGCAGCGACTGGGTAAGAGCAGATCATCTCCTTTCCCAGCTCCAGCTCCTCAGGGACTCCCAGCTCTCACCCCTCTGCACCCCCAGATGCTCTCCTACTCTTAGTCCAGGAATCCAGGTGCCTCATCCCTGGGCCCTGCCGCCCTGTCTTCTCAGGGTGACCATGCCTGGGTAGCGCCCCATCCCAATCGTGGACTCTTCGTCCCTTTCAGGGTCCCAGGAGCTGTCTGAGCAGGAAGCAGAAACAGATCCCAGCCTCAGGCTCCCAGCTGCTCACCTCATAGGTAAGGGTCTCGTAGATCTGAATAGTCCAAGGGGGCCAGTTCTGTTCCTTCATTGTTAGAACCCCTTTGCTCCGTCATTGCAGTGCTCTGGGTCTAACTCAATTCACCACCTCTCGCCCCTAACAAGCCCACCCTTCTACCAGCCCCGCGTTCCAGCTTCTTGCTTCCCTCTTGGAGCAGGCAAAACCCGGCTTGGATCTCCTCCCCAGCGCAGCGCCCCACACCCCACACCCCACACCCAGGTGCCCTCAGGTCCCAGGTGCACCCATTGCAGAGGCAGCACCCTTACCCCGCCCTCTCCCGGCTCGTCCCTGCAGTGGGTTGGAAGTCCCCGCTCTCCCTCTGCCCGCCCTCCCGGGAGTTCCCGGCCAGAATCGCTCCTCCGGGAACGGATTCCCGAGAGCCGACCCGCCCATTTCTCTGCAGGCGCCTGGACGCAGGGACAGGGTCTGGGCTGGGAGACGGAGAAAGAAGAGGCGTTTCTGAGGAGCGGGGCGCAGTTCTCCAGCACCGACGGGCTGGCCCTCCCGCGGGACGGCCTCTATTACCTCTACTGCCAGGTCGGCTACCGAGGCCGGGCGCCCCCTGCGGACCGGGACCCCGTCGACCGCTCGGTCACGCTGCGCAGCCGGCTGTACCGGGCGCGGGGCGCCTACGGACCCCACAGGACTCCGGAGCTGCTGCTCGAGGGCGTGGAGACTGTGAGCCCAGCCTTGGACCGGACCCGGAAGCTCTGGTACACGAGCGTGGGGGTCGGCGGCCTGGTGCAGCTCCAGAGGGGCGAGAGGGTGTACGTGAACATCAGCCACCCCGACATGGTGGACTACAGGAGAGGGAAGACTTTCTTTGGGGCTGTGATGGTGGGGTGATGATGGCAGCCCTGCAGCGTGGGAGTGGGTCTGTCAGCCCAGCTGTTGGGGACCCAGACACCAGGGACCCCGTGGCAGGGGTGAAAGGCAGGACGCTGTTTGGAAACTGATTTTGATCCTGATGAAAATAAAGAATGTTAAGCTTTAGTGCTGCCCATACAGATGCTGACATGCTAACATGCCTCGGTTCAGGGCAGCCACACAAAGTTGGTTAAATGTTCTCTGTGTTTTTCTGGATGCTTGAAATAAGGGTTGGTTAAATATTCTCTCGTGTTTTACTGGATACTTGAAACAATTCATAACATATTGTATGGGGGCCGATTCCTGGAATGGAGGTCTGTAGTCCCACCCACCCTCTGCCTCTGAATGGCCTTGTCTCAGCATTGGCCTAGTTGGAGGGTAGAAGGAAGAGCACCTCAGACTCCCAGCATCTGCAAGCATCCTGATTCTCAGAGCCACACGAACCCCACCCCACTGTACTCTTCTCTTGGGTCCCTCCAACACTGAGAGAGGGGTCATTACAGGGGAAGGCAAGCACTACTCAGAAAGGCCCAGCCCCAGAAGACCCCTGAAACTGGCTGAGAACTGGAGGCTTCAAGGGCCCAGCACTTCTGCCCTGCCGGGAACCTGCAGGCCCTTTCACCACTACCCCAGAGTCAACTTTCCTTCCAAGGAGCAAAAGTAACAGCTCATGGGGTGCGAAGGGAGGAGGCTAAAGGAGAAAGCTGGGAGGGCGTTTGAGAGAGAGAGAGAGAGACGGTGTGGGGGTGGTGTCTGAGGACACCATGTAGAACCTGGGGAGAAGGAGAGGAGGAAAATCTGATGCCGCCTGTTGTGGGGATGGAAGGTTCTCACCCCTCTTTCACACTTCAGGTCTCCTTCCTTTGAATGGGCGAATGTGGGGGCCTGGGGTGAGTAACAGCAGCCTTCTCCCCCCCTAAGTGACTTTCAGCCCTGGGCTGGAGGAGGCAGAGGGGGACTCCAGGCCCTACCGAGGTCACCCCAGTGGGTCACCCCACCCGTGCAGCACACCGCATGGGTTTCCTCTGCCTGCTGGTGACTCATTTTATTTCTTCACTCTACTCTTCATTTTCTCTTTTGGTTAGGATTTTTCTCCTAGAAAACATTGTAGATTAAACAAAACATTTTAAAGTCCCTTGATGCCAAGGTAGCAGTGCTTTCCTTGGGTCCATCATGCCCCTCAGAGGGAAAATATGGGCCAGAGACATGCTTGCCATATGAGTTTATACTCAGCTCAATATTTGTGCCAATTTTTAGATTGAAGCATTAGGAAAGGACCAATTAAGATATTATTGTTATTATTTATCAGTTTTATTTATTTTATTTAAAAGTTGATTTTAGAGTAGGGAGAGGAGAAGGAAACCTCTATTTGTTGTTCCACTTAGTTATGCATTTATTGGTCAATTCTTGAATGTACCTAGACTGGGTTGCAGCCGTGGCCTATCAGTGGGGCATTCTAACCAGCTGAGCTAAGTGGCCAGGGCTATTAGATGTCAGTTTTAGAAACCAGTTTCAGTCCCGAGAATAGGTGAGTTCAGTTAAACAGTTGTCTCTCATTTTAGGAGGCCATGATGAGGTAACTCCCAAAATTAGGCCTCTAGTGAAAATAATTAGGTATTTCATGAGAGGCATCTCTATGGAAACAAAAGGAAAACAATGCTTAGTGATTGAAACCAACTGTAATCCCAGTCTGTGCGTTCTGAAGGCAGCCAGTGGAGAAGATTTGAAGATGTCTGGCTCGAGTCACCTTCAGATGGAGCAGAGGCAGGCATGCAAGGGTCTGGTAGTTCTCTTGGTTTTCAATTTTAATGTCTTTTTTCCTGCAACAGGCATAAAGGCTGTCCATATGTGAGCTGTCATAGTGATTTCTCTGAAGTTTTTATCAAGTTGCCCCACTTTCACTTGTACGGCTTTGGAAAAGGGGCAGTTTTAGTCCTCAGTGATTTTTCTCTCTAAAATAAGCCTAATTTTTACCACATGTAGCCAAGACTAATTTGTTTGTGAAATAAGTCTAGTTTCAATCAAGTTGGCCTATTATCTACATATGAGCAGCAGGAATGGTAAGTAACCACATAGGCTCCTTTACATCTGCTTTGCTGGAATTTTTCATAAGGAATCTTCAGATTGAACTTTAAAGGCTCCTGAGGCCAGAAAAGTCAAGGCAAGGACTTGCCATCAGACATCATCTGCAGTACCTCTATATTTGGGTGAGGTTCTCTCTTTGAGTAATTGAGATTTGTGCACCTGCCAGGAAGCAACCTTCTTTACTCACCTAGTTAAGGCTTCTGAGAACCCTGCAAGGGTTCATCATCATTCTGAGAAAGAATGATGCTAATTACTTCAAAGAGAAGGATGTTGCAGACCAAGGGCAAAAGTGCCCTTGGTTACACTACATACTGGGGAGGTTTAGCACAGACTTTAGGAAGTTACAGTAAGTAATTAGAATTCTTAACCCTTAGAAACCTTAATTTCTTTTTTAAAAAATATTTATTTATTTTTAGAGAGATACTTGTTGCCTCAATTCAGGGTGAGGAAGTTTCAGCAAAAAGCAAGTCTCAAAGCAGTCTTGGTACAATGCAGGCCTGATTCCCCACAGGAGAACGTATTGGTGGGCGTGGGTCCTGTGCATCAGACCTCACTTTCCACTGGCCTTCCGAGTGGGAGCTGGGCCCATGCCACAAAGAACGGTCTCCTATAGGCCTACAAACCAAAGGGTTGCCAGTTTGATTCCCAGTCAGGGCACGTGCAGGGTTGTGGGCCAGGTCAACCACTTCCGGGCATGTGAGAGGCCACCACACATTGATGTTTCTCTTCCTCTCTTTCTCCTTCCCTTCTTTCTAAAAATAAATAAAGTCTAAAAAATAATAAATTCATTTACTTAATTAAACTCATTTTAATTTTATTTAGCTTGACCACATGTAAAATTTCTTTCTCAAGTTTTCTTATTCACAAACCTTTCACAATTTTCCTTGTCCCTCTTAGCTTGTCTCTTTTTAGTCATTCACAAATAATCAATATGTTTTAGTACAAACTATTTTCTTTTCAATTTCTTAAAAAATGCATTTCAAAAAAAAAATGCATTTCCAGGCCCTGGCCAGGTAACGCAGTTTGTTAAAACATTGTCCCAATACACCAAGATCTCAGGTTCAATCCTTGGTTGGGGCACATACAAGAAGCAGCAACAACTGTACAAATAAGTGGAACAACACATTAGCATTTCTTTCTCTCTCTCTCTCTTTCTCTCCCTGCTTCCTCTCTGTCTCTGTAAACACAATCAATAAAAAAAAGTTTTTTAAAAGGCATTTCCAAGCCTTATATCTTCTTTTCCTGAACATTTATGTTATTTCCTTCCATAGTAATTAGAATTCTTAACCCTTAGAAACCTTAATTTCTTTTTTAAAAAATATTTATTTATTTTTAGAGAGAGGGGAAGGGAGGGAGAGAGGGAGATAAACATCAATGTATGAGAGATACTTCGATTAGTTGCTTCTTACAAGCCCCCAACTGGGGACCTGGCCTGCAACCCAGGCACGTGCCCTGACTGGGAATCAAGCTGGCAACCTTTGGGTTCATAGGCCAGTGCTCAATTCACTGAGCCACGCTAGCCAGAGCAAAACCTTAATTTCTAATGACAACTGAAAAGTAAGCAATTAGCATTCTGTAGATTGGCAAATTTATGAATATATTTCCTAACCTCTGGAAATGTAGTGTTTTTTACTGGTAAATACATTTCATAAATTTTAGATATCATATGCTTCCTCACCAAAGTATGACACATGTTCATTAGCAGATCCAAATTTATCTTTTAGTTTCTCTGTAATAAGAAGTCAAAAGTAGATAGACTTATTTAACGATTAATATTTTAGTATTTTATCTTACTGGGAAATGATGTAGACAGTTAATGAATTTAACTTGAATCATTGTTTAACTTAACTTGGCAAAACTCTGGGATACAAGTTACCAAAATGATTTTGATAAACTATTTAAGTAAATATACCATAAAACATAAATATTGCTGAAAATTTCACCTAAAACTTTTAACTCACTTACATCTATTTATTTTACTTGTTCTCAATAATTTGTTTAGGTTACTTGAAAATTTTATTCTATGAAGTTATTTTTCTTGCTGATAAATTTTGCAACGGAGACAGTGTGAACTTATTTAACTAATAAACCCAGGTAAAATAGAAGTATTGTACATAATTCTGATAACTGTAAAAATATGTTTATTTAACCAAATCAAACTCAAACCAATTTTAAAAAAAATTTTTTTAAGGATTTATCTATTTTTAGAGAGAGGGAAAGGGAAGGAGAAAGAGAGGGAGAGACGCATCAATGTGTGGCTGCCTCTCGCATGCCCATTTCTGAGGATCTGGCCTGCAACCCAGGCATGTGCCCTGACTGGGAATCAAACCAGTGACCCTTAGGTTCTCAGCCTGCACTCAGTCCACTGAGCTACACTAGTCAGGGCTCAAACCAGTTTTAATATCAAATACCTTCCCAGAGCACTTTATCCTGAAAAAAACACTTGGATTAGTTTCTTTTTTTTTTTTAAGAGTATTTCTTAAAAAACAAAGACACTGAAATAGAGAACAAGGGGACAGTGACTAGAGGGGAGTAGGAACGGAAGTTAAGGGGAAAAAGGGGGAGGGATTTGGAGAAACAAATAGGAAGGACACAGGGACGAGAACTAAGGGGGGTTGAAATGGGAGGGAGGTGGGGAGCAAGGGGTGGGGGAGGCTGGGATGGGAGAAATAGACAAAAAACTGTACTTGAAAAATAACTAAATAAAATTAATTAAAATTTAAAAAAAGAGTATTTCTTTTTTTTTAAGATTAAAAAAATTTACTCATCTTTAGAGGGGAGGGAAAGGAAAGAGGGAGAGAAATATCAATGTATGTTGCCTCTCATGCATCCCCTGCTGGGAACTGGCCTGCAACCCAGGCAATGTGCCCTGACTGGGAATCGAACCACAATCTTTGTTTGCAGGTCCGCGCTCAATCCACTGAGCTACACCAGCCAAGAGTTTCTTTTTTTTTTTTTTTTTAATATTTTATTCATTTATTTTTAGAGAGGGGAAGGGAGAGAGAAAGAGAGGGAGAGAAACATCAATGTCAGAGTGAAAC